ATCTACAAAAAATTAAAAATAAAGAAAGCAATGATCTGGAATCGAAAAAAAAGTAAAAAAATAAATGTTTAAATTATCGTGACACGAAACCACGGCCTTTTGTTTCGGGGCCGCCCGATTACCGACCGAGCTATTATAACATTTTTTTTTGCGGCAAAATTTGCCGTTGTATTCGAATGATATTTTTCATTCCCTGATAAAAGGACTTTTGCTAAAAATGAAACCTAGCTAGATCAATTTTTCGCCCACGAATCTACGCACATACTAAATTTAATGAAAATCGCTGGAGCTGGAGCCGTTTCCGAGATTCCGATTATATATACATATATATACATATATATACATATATATACATATATGTATATATATATATATATATACAAGAATTGCTCGTTTAAAGGATAAGATTACAACTGTTTATATGTCTTTTTGATTTGTTTTAAAAGTCATGTTAGGAACTGTTTTACAAACACAAGTAGACACAATGAACAAGTATTTTGTATAATGACGAACACTTGTCCGAAATAGGAATCCAGGAATCCAGTGACCCACGGTCCTATGGCGATAAACTTCTATCGCTGTCCAGATATCGAAAGGATGTTAAAAATTTATATCTTCAGATCGAAACGATCTCAGCAAATACCTTCATTGATTTGCGAAACCATCAGCAGTGTCATTGGATATTATCGCGAGGAATGACATAACGGACCTTTGTTATCAGTCATTAGTCGAAGTGTGCCACATTGCAGCGTCGCGTGGCCGAATTGATGGCCATATACATTACATTGGAATGACCTACGACGTGGATACGTTTTTAAGAACACTGGTGTTGCCATTTACTTCGCAGAGCTAGTGCCGTTGACATTTTTTTAATACATTATATTAATCAATTCAGGCATAAAAAAGATTATTTTTTATTTTTAAGAAACCCTATATGCAAATAAAAGAATATAAGAATTTTAGGAATAATTAGACACAAACTGCATTTTAAACGATCTAGTGGCATAAAAATAATTATATAATTATATTGTTTTTAAGCGATAGAGCCGTGATAGCTCAGTGTCCGGGCGCTCGCATTTAATTCAATATACTCGAGCAACCTGATTTCGATCCCCGGTGCCGGCACCAATGAAATAGTTAATTTTAAGTGCCGAATTATCACGTGCTCTGCGGTGAAGGAAAACATCGTGAGGAAATCTGCATATTTTCGAAATAATAACAAAAAAAAATATTTCGAAGATATGTGAAGTCCGCCAATCATCAGGGGGGCTGCGTGGTTGACTATGCCCTGATACCCTCTGTACAGAGGAGGCCTTTGCCCAAAAGTGGGACATGTATAGGCTGATACTTTACTTTTTTTATTGTCTTTAAATATAATAAAGGTCATAAAATAATTTTATTAATTCCAGTATTATTTTGTTTGCTATATTATGATAATGAATTTATGAAATTAAAATGAGATATTAAACATGTATTTGAATGCCTACGCAGAAAGGTTTTAGTGCCTTACGATTAAAGTGTAAACATTGTTATATTAAAAATACACTACTATTTAAGACAGAAGATATCAAGCGTTCGGGTGGATTAACGTTGTTGTATGTACCGTAAAGAACTGTGGGCATCGGTTACCTCACTCGCCAGACATTATAAAATAAGTTTAGATAAATCTTAAGATACTCACACATTATACCGGTCTTCTGCTAAGAGGTAAATTGAAAGAATATAATAAATATTCACATAGTGCGTGTTGGTTTTGTAACTACTAATAAATGGCATCATTAATTTGTGCTGAACTGTAGCACCAAAATCGAAACATTAATCAATAAAAGAAAATCGCTATTCTACCCTCGGTTGGATAACCGAGGAGGCAACCCTTAAGACCATGGGCTGATTGACCATTAGGTCTCAAGTTTCTGGAGACCAATCTACAGTAGCGATTCCGTAACAACCCATAATACAGAGGTCGAGAGTTCAGGGCCGATGATACGTGAACACTTATTGGTTAGAGAGGATTGCTTTTGACACTTAGTAATATTAGTTATAGTATAATATTGTAATAATTATTTCCGGAGATAGAGCTTTAGATTTTCATTTTTTTTTCTTTTTAAAAACATTGCCCTTACTTAAGGAAACATTAACGCTAATTGAGAGGACGTTTTACAAAAATAAATTTCACGTTTCGAAATCTGCTAAACCCGAGTGTTTGCAGATGCGTTGACAACCATATTGAAAATTGGGCTCCGGCTACCTCACTCGCCAGACGAAATGCGAAAGTATTACACTTCCACTTCACGCCGGTCTTCTGTGAAAAAATCACTTCACTTCACATTAAAAAAATGTTGTATTAGAATAGGGTTTTCTGAAGGGAATGGTCATTTTGAAACATAAACATACTTACTTCTCGAAAACGATAAAACTCCACTTGGTAACCAAATTTATCTTATCGTTGTGCAGACTTAATTGAAAATGACGAACCGATGCACTATCGGTATTCAACGTCTTGTTGATCAAAACCGTTCTGAGAATTTTAATATACATAACAAGCTCAAGGGATGGGACTTGGGGACACGGAAGATGATATCGAAGAACCGAAAGATTCACATTAGAGACATACATATACATCAACATACAAGGGTGTTTAAACTCTCTCAAATGATCATTCTAGTGATCTAGTCATTAAAAGAGTTTAACCATCTTTTGGCAACTCAAATGACATTTGTAAAGCCATTTAACAGCTGATTAGTTAATTTCTACGATGACCACTTTTTCAGAAACCGGGCGTAAGAGTTTAAGCCACGTGATTGTTACAATAGCAATATTCAAGTAAATTTGCAGCCGAGACTCGTGACACGCAGAGATGGCATTATCTCTGAATTTATTCAAATGACGTGCTGACACACGACAGCGAATACGAAAAAGGTAAATTAGTAAAAAAAAAACAAATACCAGCAAAGCTATACGAATTATATACGAATGCCAGACGAAATTTAGAAAAAAAAACGAAACGATTAAACGATGGTGGTAGTGACCAGAGCGAACTGTATGTACTGGTAGTATTCCCCACAAAAAAGACATTATTTTTTCCGTATTTCTCAAAATTTTACGAGTGTAGTACATAATTGTCATTATAAATAACTAGCTGCTGCCCGCGACTACGTCTGCGTAGGCTGAAAGCGTAACATTCAGACAGAAAGACAGATATACATGTCGGGGGAAGCTATGTGTCGGGATGTTTGTCTATAATTCATAAAATTATGGGTTTACCTTTTTATCACATTTAAAAATCTTAATTTTATTTTATTTCATTTGTCACATTTTTACATTAACTTAAAACCTTAGTAATGAAATAAAAGTTACGAATATTATAAACGACCAATCAGAGCAGAGCACATGCCTCGAGTGGGGCCGAGGCGCCAACTTGCCCTCAGGGATCGTTAGGTTTCGGAGGACACATTTGGGTAAAAGTGTTCTGTGCGTTTGAGTGATAGTCAATATATTGGTTTTAGCCAATATATTGGTGATAGCGATTGATCGAGTTGGATCGTTGAGAGTTTATTCATTAGTTAAAGTAAGATTGGTGCCCTGAACCCGCTGCTCGGTTTTAATTATCAGTTTTCCTTTCGACATTATTGTGATGTGACAAAACATTGTTTAATCTAAATTAAAACAATACAAAATTCTAATCATTGTGTTTATGCTCGCATTTTACCCTGATTACGCCCACTAAGAAAGCAATCACTATCAGCGATGTCAACGAGAACAATGCATCTTCGACATACATAAAATATGTGTATAAATTATAGCCGATATCTTATTCTGATGTAAAAGCTATATTATTGTATACTTTCATTAAAATCCATTCAGTAGTATTTGTGTGAAAGACTAACAAACATCCATCCATACATACAATCTTTCGCCTTTATAATATTAGTAAGGACTATACATCGCTTGCCTAATTGTATAAATTTATGAAAACTTGGAGGTGAATGTGCATGTTGAGACAGCAAACGTCTCGAGTTTTGAGCTATTCCGAGTCTCGAGTCTACTCCGAAAAACGAAAAACGACAAAACTTTCATCGTTTCGCCCGAATGCTACACCAATCGTTAAATACGTTCGTCGTTTGAAGTATATCGTTTGTTTAACCACATCTAGAGATCCAAAAGTTTTCCCAAAGCCAAAGGGATGAAACAATTATGGTTTTGTCTTTTTCCTTTTTAGATCTACAGACGCTAAACTGCGCGGTGGGCGCGAATAAAAATTAAAGCGATGACATCACTCGCTTGTTTACACTTCGTGTTGTGTAATCGTGCGGTCTCTGTGTCAATACGAGGGGGTATTGCGCTATCCTATGTCGTGAGGAATAATTACGGTTTGACTTGAGCTACGATGCGATGGTTGTCAGTAAAAAGTGGGCCATGTGAATTTTGTTATTTATATCAGGTGGCGCGGAAGAGCATTTATTTTATATTGCATAAAAGTCAATCCCTTCTTTGGTCAACCTCAGTTAGTTGGGACAGACTCCGCAATCGTTTAGAGAAAACATCGAGAGGTTCTTCACGGACAGTACAGGGGGTTCTTTATCTCTATTTTACAAATCCAGTGTTGACAAAACAATTATGTTAACAAAAACATCAACCTAAATGCGTCAAATCGTTCGGAAATAACCAGACCCCGACAGATTAAATACGTACAAAGATTAAACTAATAAAGAGATGTTATTAATAGATTAATAAAGAGATGCTTTATTACTTTTACAAATCAATGTACTCATTCCGCTAAGAAGTTGTATCGAAACTGCGTCTAATTCATGAAAAACCAATGGTATAGTCATATTTAACCATATTTATTTTTAATACGGTTCCACTTCTGACGGTAACAGGTTGCAACATACATACGAATTCGGTACAGATATTTTTGTAGCCGAAGGTTGTGGCACGTCGGAATGAGATCTAAATTGCATATAATAAATTTCTCGAATGCTGGTTGAACATATATTTACCTGACTGCAGATTTCGGGATGGAGCCATATAACAACACGCTGAGTCCCCTGTAGAGACCGAAAAAACCATGGCCCTTCACGGTTTTCTTCACGCAGTCGAATATTCCCGCGTATTGCTTTGTACCGCCTAGAATGAAGAAAAATTATGTAGTATATTCTGTAATCCTCTTTATATATATATATATAATTCTTCTGTACGTGTGTATATCCGATTTTAATGAAATTTTTTATGTGTCTTCAGGTCGATTCGAGAATGGTTTAGTTTAACAATTCGGTCCACTAAATTTTTTTTTTATTTCTAAGTGGTCGACTTTCGTCGACATGTTTTTCGTCGTATGTACAGAACAACGTCTGTCTGTTCGGCTGGTAATAGTATCTATTTTGTTTTAGCTCTATGTATTCTCTATTTCCATACCCTTACCATGGATTGTTACAAAATTGAAAGTCAATTGTATATAATAACATTAGTAGGACTTTGATTCAAGTCTATATAAAATTACACCAAAATCTTTGATGTTAATTTAATATTAATAAACAATCTGGACTGCGGAATGTTTTAAAATAGAAAATGTTGGGAAAAAAACTATATAACTATGCCGCCAGGTTAAGTTTTGAGTTAAGATTGAATTATGTATTGCTTGATTAATGTGCCCTGTTATCAATGTTTCCGACATAATATCACGACCGTGAATCGAACGTGCCAACCAGCTGAGAGGTCAACAGCTTTGACTTCCGATTACATTATACACATATACCTTAATAACCTATTACACGCATACAACCTTTATTATATATTTCGTATTCAATCTTATCCTTTAAACGAGCAATTCTTGTATATATATATATATATATAATCGGAATCTCGGAAACGGCTCCAGCGATTTTCATGAAATTTAGTATGTGCGTAGATTCGGGGGCGAAAAATCGATCTAGCTAGGTTTAGAAAATGTTCTTTTATCCCTGTTTTCAGGGAATGAAAAATATCATTTGAATATGACGGTAAATTTCGGCGCAAAAGAAAATGTTATAATTAGCTCGGTCGGTAATCGGGCGGCCCCAAAAAAGACGGCCGTGGTTCGTATCACGATCATTTACACAGTCTTTTTTTTACTTTTTTTTTCGATTCCAGATCATTGCTTTATTATTAATTTTTTTGTCGATTTGTTATTTTGTTACTTTTTTCCCTTTTTTTTAAAGTTGTTTCTTTTGTGAACAACGCCTCTTCATATTTTCTTATTATTAGGTCGGTAAGATCGAAAAATATTATGCATATTTCATTACTCAGTAATTTGTATCTAAATGTAATTTCCAAAACACACGATTTACCAAAAAAACAAACCGAGCAAAGCTTGGTCGTCCGGGTACTTATTATGTATTTCAGCAATTTGTCTATTTTTTTAAAACAGTTTACATTTGTTAAAGTGACCACTTAAACAATTGCAGCACTGGTACAGTCAGCAAAATAAGGATTTATTAAAAAAATTACACAAATAAAAAATTGATGACTCCGTGGCGCAGTTGCCAAGGTATTGGCTTCGGCGTCGGGGGTCGTGGGTTCGATTCCCACACGGGACAACTATTTGTGTGAACCACAGATAGTTGTTTCGCATCTGGGTGTTTGTACACGTGAAATTTATGTTTGTGTAACCACATGATAGTTTTAAAGTAAGGGGTGTTTGTACAAATTTATATTTCAACTAGCAAAATTGATCATTTTATACTAGTAACAAAACTTTTAGTAATGTATGATGAATTCAAACAAAATGTGTTTATATTGAAGTTGTATAATATTTAATTATGTTATTCATAAGGAATCTTAAAGGAAGATAATTAAATCGACATTTTGGGTGTATTAAAGTGATGTTCCATTATAACATGAAATTTAGTAGGATTATATGCCATAATATTTTTTTAGTATTTTAGAGGCCATAACTAAGAAAAAATAAATAAATTTTCAACTCAAAATTAATCATTAATAAAGATCTTGTATGATTCTTATTGGAGTTGACAATATTGTTTTATGTTATTTGATTATAATTTTTTTATTATTGTTTGCTAACTACTATTTTGTTATTTGTAAAAATAAAATATAATTTTTTATCAATATGTTGATTAAATATGAAGTTATAAGTAATGAAGATCAACAAGATCCTATTTGCAAAGATAGGTTGTTTTATATCAGATAATACTTGAGAGAGAGAGATAAAAATAAATAATCTTCACCAATACATATAATGGAGTGTCATATTGTGATATTTGTGTTAAATCATACTAATAAATAATATTGCTATTGTAAAGTGAACTAATTTACTTCATTAATTAAACATTTATTTATCATAATAAATACTGAATATGTGTTGAACCAAATTTAACCAGTTTGATTACATAAAAAGTTTTGGGAAAAATTTTGAAACAAGTCGCCTTTGTAGGGGGTCGGGTGGTGAGTGGGGGGTGGGGGGTGATGTGGTGGGTCCCCTCTTACCCCTTCCGCTGGAAATGCATAGTTTTTATTTAAATAATTTTATTTATTTAATAGAATCTAATAAGAATGTACACATGGGGGAGGGTTTCCCTCCCGCCTGTTGTCCTTAACCAGACTTAACAACAGAAGTGCTAATGGGTGGTTATAAAAAAAATAACCAGATGGTTAAGGTGGACGCTCTGCTCCCGCCTGAACCTTCTAACTTAATCTGTCCGATTTGGATTTCTCTGTGTCGGATCTGCGACTCATTAAATAAAAAAAAAATTGATTGAACAAACAAAACGAGTATGAAGTCGCCCGCTTCCTATATTTATCATGTTGGCAGTACTGCGTATTCAGTTTTATTAAAATTAATAAAATGTGCGTACTTTCTTGGTGAACATAACAAGTTTTAAATTTTTTTTTCGTACATTGAATGGGACCGGAGAATAATGCTTGTTGATTAATTCATTAGTGACTTCTCTTTAGTTTAAATTATATTATTATTCTCTTCTTCAAAAACACTGAAATTCATCAAAATAACGTTCCATAAAAAAATAGCTAATTAAATTTTTTATGCGTTTCCGGCAGAAAAAAATGCATTAGGGTGCTTGGTACGAACCTTCTTAACCCCCCCAAACTTACAGTGTACTTAAATTCGGGCGACTCGATTCAAAACTCAACAGCTCAAAGTTATATTATATTTCTAATTAAAAAGAAACTGAATTGGTGATTTAAGGCCAAAGTCCATTTTGTTTCTATTTACTTGTACTTGTTGTATATAACTGGATCTTGCGTAGATATAAATCATTATAACCTCGAATAATACGTCTTTTGCAATGTGATTCTAAGTGGCTTAGTTTTAAGAAGTTAATCCAAAAAAAATAACATTTTAAGTTTTTATAAAGCAAGATATTTGAAAGTAGTATAAATGACTAATTTCATTAGAAAACCGCGAATAAATCACAAGATTTTTTGATTAACTCATTCATTAGCTATACTAATGAATTAAAATTTTCAATTCACGCATTTACTACCTAGTGTACTGACCTTTTTCGTCTAACTGAAGTTGGGTTTTTACATATTCCGTAGGAAATGTTATACAAATTTCAATGCCACCAGTTATTCCACCGGCAACTACGCCTTTTAAACCAACAGATCCTGGACCGCCAGCCGCAGCCGCTGCACCTGTTTCAGTCATCCATGGTCTTGAAAAAGGATTTTTGAAGTTTCCTGTCTTTGTAGACATTCTACCAAATTTTAGGCTCTGGTCGTAATTACGACTGCGGCGTGGTGGGTTCCTCCCCCAAAGACAACAAAACGCGAACTAAAATTTCAAACTGATCTGATGAATGAGAATGACGTTTGTTATCACAGAGACAAGATAATATATAGGACGTTACATTGCATTGGCAAATTGGCATTCACTCTTTCTTATATTTTTTCTATAAATTCCGATGATTTCAACTTCCGAGTCGCAACATTAGCAAGCAATTTATAGCAACACACCTATTCAATTACAGTTCTTACTAGATTTCTTCTATATCGTATATAATCATTTACAATTGGTTTTAAAATGAATACTTGAGTTAAATGGAAATTGGACTTAATGGAAATTAAATTAAACGTATAAATATATACACCAATAATTTTATATGTATTTTATGTATTTTCATATATTATATACGTTCCTGGGAACCTTCCAGAAGACAACATTCAGCATATTCTTTCTTGAAAGCCAACAACAGTTTTTTTTTTTATGGAGAAAAGGGCAAACGAGCAGGAGGCTCACCTGACGGTACCGTGATTACCGCCGCCCATGAACACCTGCAACATCCGAGGGCTCACAAATGCGTTGCCGGCCTTTTAAGAAAGAGTATGCTCTCTTCTTGAAGGTTCCCAGGTCGTAACGGTTCGGAAAGACCACCGGCGGCAGTTGGTTCCACTGAGTGGTTATGCGTGGTAAGAAATGCCTTGAAAATCGCGCTGTTGTGGAACGCTGAACATCGAGGTGGCGTGGATGAAATTTTTGGTTCTAGCGCGATGTTCGATGGTGGAATTCAGCCGCCGGGATCAATCCAAACAATCCCTCGGAACACTCCCCGTGATAAATGCGGTAGAAGATGCAGAGTGACCCACCATCTCTACGCAGAGCCAAAGGATCAAGCCGAGAGGAAAGACTTTGATCGTCGATAACCTTAGCCGCCCTACGTTGAGAACGCCCAGAGGTGAGAACAGTTCTCCATGTGGGGCCGAATTTGCGCCTTGTGGAGGTTTAGGCGTTGAGCAGCCGTGAAGTACCGTCTCGCCTTGTTGAGCACACCAACCTTCTTTGAGGCCAATTTGGCCTTACCTTTGCTCGTCGAACGTTGCTCGAAATTTCGACGCCAAGCATTCCGATACTAGCTGTGTCAGATAGGGGAGTGTTCTCGGAATGAGCAAACGCGCGTTAACGCACAAACTTGTGTCTTTTTGGGGTTGAATTGGACTTGGAGGAGGTTCAGACTCGGTAGTATACTTGAGATAACCGGAATTTGATCCCCGGTGCCGATAACAATTAAATTTGTAATTTTAAGTGTTCACTTATGACGTGCGGTGGCGTACGTGGCGGTGAAGTAACATTTCTAATATATGTGAAGACCACCAATCTAAAGTGCGGTCGTGTGCCCTAAAATACTCTCTGTAAATAGAAAGCCTTTGTCTAGCAGTGGGTTATTAATATAGGCTGTTACATTACTTTACATACTTGCTGGTAACGCATTTGTAAGTAATCCGGTTTGCAGATGTTCATGGGGGGTGGTAATCATTTTCCATTACGACATTTCCATTTCCATGACGACAAGATGCACTTTGCCGAGAGTGTCCGACTGAGAAGAAAAAGATTTTCATTAGCGGTGGATAACATATTTTTAATGCATAGAGGGGGCAAACGGACACGTTACACAGAGGCACCCCCAAGTCTTTCACCCTGGTGGCTCACTAGTATGGGGGATGACTACGAGCATACGCCTGCCTGGACATAAAGGGTGGCTGTTGATCAGAGGGTGTGGGCAATCCGGGCCATCAAGAAACACCGTCGACCAAAAAAGAAAGGTATGTCAAGTAAATATATGACACAACATTGATGGATAAAATACAAATATCGACATATTGATATTTTATCGACATCCCTAGGCAGTCAAATTGAATTGTAATTTGAATGTGAATGAATGAAACTTCAAACTTAGCGTTGGTTCTTTCAACAGCAGCAATATGATTATGATCGTTTGATTTTTAACTAATAACCTGCCTGCTAAGTTATTTCTAATTTTTATACTGCGGCAGTGATACAACCGAACTAAAAATGGCACTAAGAACTTACGGCGATAAGCCGATAAGTTTTCAGATTGAAGAAGGTGGAGAATTTTACTGCGTGGGATCAGAGGTACCTTTCTTTCAGCCTACGTAAATAAAGCTTTACAATACACTTTTATTTAAATAAAAATGTTGAAATACTTTTTTTCTCTAATGTACAGGTTGGTAATTACCTAAGGTTATTCCGCGGTTCACTATACAAGAAGTACCCTGGCATGGCCAGGAGGACATTGACGAATGAAGAGAGAAAGCGTCTTATTGATAATGGCTTAGGACCTCATGTTTTGTCTAGCTCTGTATCTTTACTGAAAGCTTCTGAAGTAGAAGATATCATTGAAGGAAATGATGATAAGTTAGTTATTTTTATGTTTTCTTTGCATTAGTATATTTTTGTTTATTTACATATTACTTATGATTAACTGAGTTTCAACTGACTATTTATAGCAATCAAAATTATGAATTTTATTCAAATTTTTGAAAAATAACCTCTCCATTATGTCTACTCTAATTGTGGTCGCATTTCCATAATTATTTAATAATTTTTAGATACAAAGCAGTATCAGTAAGCCAAGAATTGGCTACTCCAAGAGAAAGTAAGAGTAAGAAGCCACATAATCCATCATGGCTACCAGTGATGCCAAACTCATCGCATTTGGATGCTGTGCCTCAAGCAACTCAAATAAGTAGGACCCGCGTACATAATAAAAAGGTATCATGCATTATGGTACATTTAAAATGTAATATTAAACTAATTGATTTAGCTAATTCATGTATTTTACAAGAACAAAAAGTAAAAATGATTGTTATTTTATTTTAATCATATTTTGTAAACAGGTGAGAACATTTCCACTATGTTTTGATGACACTGATATGACAGCCATGTTAGAAAATGCATCACAAAAGCAAGTGCTTGTTCCAATACGTCTTGATATGGAAATCGAAGGACAGAAGCTTCGAGACACCTTTACCTGGAATAAGAATGGTAGGTGGTACATATTCTCATATACAGCGTGTTGTTATCACCGCGACAATAAATGAACACATATATAGATGATAACTTTTTAAAATTGTATTAAACAATTACATTCTCTAAACATCAATATTTACCGAGTTATTAAATTTTCCAAAACAAGCAATTTTAGAACACCCTTACCTATAAAAGCATAACGTAAAGTTCATTTGTAAAGGTAACAAAGCATATGAATGGGTTGAATGAATTTAAAAGAGACAAAACATACTGTTAGAAGGAGAGGCTTGTAATGCGACGCTGTGGCGCGAGTTGTATAGGATGTTACAAATTTTGTTTCTTTTTTACTTAATTAGTTTGTTTGAAAAATATTTTTTTTTAATTATGGATTTTGTTTAAAGTTAATATTTTTTTATGATTATTGGCAAGTAGCGTTAGACGTGTGTTCATTTATTGTCGCGACGGTAACGACACGCTGTATATTAGTATGTCTTGCACATCAGAATGTTTATTATATAAGGTCTATTTAAAAGTTTGACTGTACAGCATACCATACTTTCCATAATATTGTTACACACGGATTATGTATTTTTAAGTAATACGGTAATTTATAATATTATATTATATCAGATGTTATCAGTTAATTTTGGTTCAAACCCAAACATACATTGTTATATATTTTATATCTTTCATAACATAAGTAAAAGTCTACATCAATCAACAGATTTCAAATATCTTCGAAATATCTATTTAAATAAAAAGGAAAACATATAGAAAATGCCTATTTTAGCATTGACTGTAAATTGAAAGATGTAAACAAAATTATACAGAATTTTTATCTGAAGCAATATTAAAGTTTTTGTAGTTGAACAGAAAACCCAGGTTTTGGAAGTTGAGAAGAAAAAATACCTAACACAAACAGATGATCAACAAACAGGAATATCATAACAATCATGCAATCTACTAGTACAAGCCAAAATGCATATTACTATGTAGTTTTACAAATTGTACACAATATTAAACACACTACATACACATTTTGCTTTATTGCCAACCCAATAACTTCTATAATTAAGTAATGAGATTGTATACCATTTGAATACGAACCTTAAGTCTTTTTTATGTTATACTTCTTATTGCGCTTAGAGAAAAAATGATTAGCGAATTTTTATGATTCGTTTTTTTTATGTGAAGGTAGCAAGCGAGTTTATCATTCTCTGGAATTTAAGTAATAACCGCCGCCCATGGACACTATCAACACACACAGGGTTGTATATGCATTGTCATCTTTTAATAAAGTGGGCCCAGGCTAACTCACTAACCAGACGAAACACAGAAGTATGACACTTCCACCTCACGCCTCTCTTCTGAGAGGTTGTGGCGTACTTGCCCATTCGTGCAACAGCCGAAGCTGTTGCGTGGCCGTACTACAGCGGGCGCAAGGCGATATGAAACAAATGTCATGAAGTTATTTAGTAGATAAATCTCATACTCCACAATATCATTTATTTGACATTTATGATGGTAACATTTTAAAATTACAGAATCAATCATTACACCAGAACAGTTTGCCGAAGTGTTGTGCGATGACCTTGAGTTGAACACAGTAACTTTCATACCAGCAATAGCATCATCAATTCGTCAACAGATTGATGCCTTCCCCAGCGAGCCACCTGCTATACTGGAAGAGCAAACTGACCAAAGAGTCATTATAAAACTCAACATACATGTTGGGAACACCTCATTAGTTGATCAGGTATTGTAAATGGACACAATGATTTTTATATATTTAATAGTGACTAGAAGAGCAATGAATATGAATGTGGGTGGAGGGTGCAAATCTAGACGAAAACCGAGAAAGATTTGGATGTGAAGAATGATATGTCTCTGAAAGGGGTTAGTATTTACATGACGGCTGATAGAAGAAAGTGGAAGGAAAGGACATGTTGTGCCAACTGCAACTAGTATAGGAAAAGGGCAAGAGAAAGAAAATATTTTATATCAAAATGTATTTCACATATTTGCCACTTAATCTATCGATATTTCATTGAATTTTTTAAGCTTAATTTTTTAATCCTGTATAATATTATATGTAGCCCATTGTATTATGGGTGGGGCCTCATAATGTAGAGATATGCAGTGTATTAAGAGCTTATAAAGGTGTAAAATATATTTTTTTATTTAAACACAACTTCTATTTAATTTGTATTTGATGCATTTTTAAATTTAAGGTAAGGGAACATAATTCAAAAGAGTAAATCAATTTCTGTCCTTAGGTTGAATGGGATATGTCTGAAAAAGAAAATAACCCTGAACAATTTGCAATGAAACTTTGTGCAGAGCTGGGTTTGGGGGGCGAGTTTGTCACTGGCATAGCCTACAGTGTGAGAGGACAACTTGGCTGGCACCAGCGCACTTTTGCATTTAGTGAAGCACCACTGCCTGTTGTAGAGGTAAAGTTTAAACATATTAGTAAACTTTAAAATAAGAACTTTAAACCATAATCAATTGGTTTGGTTTTTTAAGTTTCGAAAAATTGGTAGGGCCACGCAACAGCCTCCATTATTGCACAAAATGGGGAAGCCTATTACGTCACAGAAGATCAGCAAGAATTAGAAGTTATTTTTGCCTTTCTTTCATCTCTGTATGTTTGACTACTTTAGACCGTAAGGTATTTTGATTTAAAAATAATTGTATCATAATTAATTTTCAGACTCCGTACCGTCAGCCTTCAGAAGCTGACCAGTGGGCACCCTATCTGGAGACACTCACAAACGCCGAGATGGAGAAGAAGATTCGCGACCAGGATCGAAACACGAGAAGGATGCGCCGCCTCGCCAACACCACGCCCGGTTGGTAAATATGCATCGAGTTGGGTTATATACAATGTTGACCTTATTTAGCTGCTATTACATTTTCGTGCGATTATTGCAATTGTTGAGGAAATTATTATTTAAGTATTATTTTTATTTATACTTAAATATTATTTATTAATTCACATGCATACTCAAACAACAAGCCTTAATCAAATGCCTGTAAATTTTAGTAATTTTGGGCATATAATAATTATGGTTAAACAAACATGAGTGTTACATGTTTGTTTAAATTAAATAATATTATTATAATGTTATCAAATCGTAAGTAAATTATGCCACATATTTACTATGTTGGCATGGGTTTATTATTATTCTATTAAATACAATAGCATATTTTCCACCAAAGGTTAGAAGACCTATTATTAAATATCATTACACAATTTTTAAATCTTGTTTACTTATTTAAATCAAATTGGCAGTTAAATTGCAGTGTAAATAGGGTTGGCATTTACTTCTTTATGTATATTACGCTGTAACAGAATATCAGCTTGAATTTTAGATAATTATTAATAACAAGATTTTTAGATAATTTTAATTAACAATTTTTTTTTAATAGAATGCATTATTTCATAATTGCAAAAAATGAATATTGAGCATAATATACACATTGAAATGGGATTCTTATATGCTAGCATAACATTTTTGTTGGAACACAATGGGCTTGCGGATGAAAAAGAATGTTGTCAATATGGAACTTTGCTCATTTTCATTATTAACAATTAGAATAGTACTATGGAATGGAGGAATTTAATTGGGGTTTATTTAAGGATGTTTATGGATGTAAATTGAAAGACTTATAATATTAAATGTTGCAAAATAATACAATTCTTGATGTTAATGTTTTTGATAGCCAGAATAAGATAATGAGATAGCTCAGTTATATTAAATACAGAGTTGCATATTTATAGAATCAAATATTTTATAAAATTTTAGGTAAAATGGCATGCCAACATTGAAATAGGTGAATACTGTTAAAGTTTTTTAACGAAGTTTACGAGGTTAAATTTTTATTTCTTATTAATGTTGTACAATTAAACATTTAATGAAATACATTTTATTACAATATATTCATAGTTTTACACATATTAGTATTTAAAGAATTTGTTTGGTACAGTACATATTAATTATAAATATTGACTTTCACTTAACATAAAAAAAAAATTAAAAAAGTTTTGAATCATTTTGACTTAAGTTTTGTGCTCAAAGTTTCAAAAAGTGTTTTGACGCAATCTTTTAGTTTACGCTTTTTCTTTAATTTTATTTAATGTCGTGTATCTGCTATTTAATACATAAATATGTTGTTTTTTTATGAAACATCTTTGTACCTATTGATTTGATTTATTGATTGATGATTTATTTATCTTGTTATTTAATTGTATTTTTTTTTAATTTTACTATAACAATGTTTACGCCATTGGTTAATACTAGCTTCCATTATATGTTAATAACCAATGGAACAAAACACGCGACTATTTTAAATTGTTATAAGTGGCCATTGTAAAACTTGCATGGAAAAATAACGGTTTTTATATTATTTATACTACAATAAATGTTGGGAATGAGCTAATTGTTTTGGATATCTCCTTATATAAATAAAGGTACTTAAACATTTAAGCTATTATGTAAAAATAGTAACAGTATGGAACTTAGTTGTTGGGAACCAATCCCATTTTATTTATTTTAGAAGATTAATTCTAACACTTGATCAGATTAGATTATTTCAGATCATTTATTTTAAATTGAATCAGTTCTTTTTTCATGCATGTAACTAAATAGCAAATGTAGTTTAAAGTAAGTGGACTGTTAAATTTTTATCACATTAAAAGGTTTCTTTTTTCAAAATTTTTCGCAATTGTTTCATTTAACAAACCATTAATCAAATTCATCATAATATTTGCCTTACAAAGGGTGATTAAATTGAGACAATCTGCTTACCATCAATTATTTTTGGTTTTCATCTCTTGATGATAATGTTGAATAAGTGTTGAAAATGTATGTTAGGTGTTTATTTCTTTTTGAAAGAGATTTATTCAGTAATTTTCATGTAAATGTTTATTTGCACATTTGAAAGTGTCTGGTCAAGTGTGGTTGTACCACATTTAGTATGTTGTATTTACTATATTTTTATTACAGTACTTATTTTTTTATGCATCTAAACTGCAGTTAGATATGACTAACCTTTAAAAGAATTATTTTACTATATGTATAAGAGAACGCCCTTTTAATTTTGTTTAATTAGCGATTGGTGATTCCTGTTTTTACCTTTACCCCAACAATAATTAGAAAAATCGAATTCGATGATAAAGCGATAACTATACACCAAAATTAATAAAACATCATAAATAAACGATAAATAGTAGAAAGAAAATCAAATAAAGAAAGAATTGAAACGAATAGACAAAATCGTTATTTTCTTTGAGGGCCCTAAACTAATTGTATAAATACGTTTTATATGTTATAGTTTGGCGCGGGAACGGCCGAACTTTTATTGTCTGCTTTTTGGTGACAGATGTGTCCTTGAGCCGCGCCGTCAACCGGCTGATACGAGCCGACGAGGCGCTATTCCAGACAACGCCCGAAAAGAGGAGGAAAAAGATTTAATCTTTCATCGCTTACCGACAGCCCTATGTTATTTTTACACTTATGATGAACTATGTAAGGGTTATTATCGCTTGTATTTCTTTGACGCTAATTTATGAGTAGATAATGTAGAGCAGTAGAAAAACGTTATTCGTAAAATTTTACTATTGTTGTAGATTATCTGTATTCTATTTATGTTTGCTAATCTTTGTATTGATAAATTGTAAGCATATTGAACGTAATAAATAATTCACTTTAATTATAAAAGAAATATAATAAGCAGATTAAAAACAGAATTTGAGTTTTGTTTTTAGTTTTTAACGAACCATGACGATTTGTGATAGGCCTTCTTGCACTATGCCGTAAAGTAATTTCACTGTTTTGACAAAGTAAACCGTTAAAATTTTAAAACAATTAAATCTACAAGACTTCTGTATTGGTCTTAGTGATAGTTGGTTTTAAAACATACTCACTAAACTTAATAGAATGACGATAAATACGGGCCGTGTAACGTGTGATTTCATCACTTTGTCTAAATTGTCGTTTTTATAAAGACTAGGCTGCATGTCATTTGAACCTTTGCTTTTTCGTAAGGTCGAATCAAAAAGTTAAGTTCATATGTTGGTACTTGTCATTTGAGATTGCCGCCGGTTCGAATTGACATTGGATAAATTAGTTTTTGTGGATCTATTATCTTCGACCGGTAAGTAATTGCTTGGTTTCGATCATGCCAGTGGTTGTTTTCTTTACGTATTTCGTTTTTTTATCAATTCGCTTTTTTACAGTGCATGGCTAGAGGTTGAAATCAGAACACATTCCTGGTCATATTATCTGAGTGATTCCTGTCTGGGAAACTCTGTGCTGGATTTGTTATTCCTCGTGGTAAGATCCTCTGTTATTTTCACTGGTTTCCTACTAAAATTGTAAAAGACTTGCATTGTGAATGTATTTAGAAATGTCACATGAAGGTAGGTTGAGAATTTATTGTCTCGTGTTTCTAAGTATGGTTTTTCGAATATCACAGGTGGATGCTGAAGGCATAGGTGGCTGGCAAGCTGGTCTGAGCCGCTGCTCGATTAAATATTGTTTTTTACCTCCAGTTGGTAAGTGTTTCACATCTTATAATTGTAGGTGGATTCATATCCCTGCCTTTGTTAGTTCTACAATGTAGTGTTTGTTGGCAGGAGGTCTCCTACTTACCCCCCAACAGTGTGGCTATACACACTACACTTGGCCTGACTTTCTCTACTGGGTCTGAGCTCAACGCTGACCTGTGCACACAGGGCTGGTGTCTGCAGTGATAAAGATTTAAAATAACTACCTGATTGGACTTGGTTTTTGAATAGAATTGCATAACTTTAATAATCTCAAATTAATTTAATTATTTAACCTTTTATGGTCGCACAAAGTAATGTGTAGGTCCTATGTACTCACGACTCCCTGAGATACTTAATTGTAATTATTATAACAGTCTGTTCCTAACAGACAAGGCGCCCAACTCATTATTATTATTATTATATATATAAAATATATTGTATCTGGGCTAGTCCCGGGATTGTAACTTTAAACTGATGGGATAAATACAACTTCTTAACTGCTAATAAATCTTTTATTAAATCTTCCCATCATTAACTATACACCCAACACCATTCATTAAAACGTTACATTGGCGCCCAACTGGTTTATTTACTTTTTGTGACCATACTTTAATTAAAAAACAAAATATTTATTATCACAAGTTTGTCTCATGCTCTTTTTACTGTTTGCTGTGTGCTTAAGTGGAATATAATTCCATGTGTTTCAATAAAATTTCTTAAAGTGGTCAATATTTAGGATAACCTTATCTTAAGTTTTATTAATGCACATGGATAGTTTTAAATACTATTAAATAAAAATATAAAAGTGTACTGATAGATAATATCTCCTTTGCTGCTTAATTTAAAGATTGTGTTCTGTTTACAGTCATTTTAACAAAAATAATTAAATGTTTGAAAAAGTTTTGTAAATGTATATGAATTGATGATATATTATTAAGGTATAACAATATTATAACTAACTTACTAAAAAGTGTAAACTGACTGCGACCATAAATAATATAGAATTTAAAGATCTTAATAACTTAAAAATTTAATTAACTGGTGTTAGAAACAATGTCTCGTGAAATAAATCCCAATTATTTAAAAAAAGATGAGCTTGAATATGAGGTGATAATAAGAGGTGACCAGCCAGCTGATACTGTTGAACAATTACGACAACAGTTGCGTACACTATTAAAACATTCAACTTCGTCTTCTATTACCAAGTGTAAAAATGATATTGGGGAAGAAATAAATATTATTTTGGAAAAGTTAGCATCACTTGAAAAGCAGATTGCTAGTTTGACCGGCGCGTTGACTAAGGCACAGTTGGAAAGGTTGCTGTCAGTTTCTGTTCATCTTGATTATAGGTTACGCAGGTTGCAGACTGAAGATGACCTTATAGCTCATCAATTAATAAAAATATCAGAGAGAATTGCAGCAATTATTCAAAAGTTAGATGGAAGTACAGCAGAGGAGAGTATAAGTTTTTTGGATGCAGAGGATTGTCATAAAGGCTCACAGGTAAATTCTTGTTGTGTTCATAACATTACCTATGTAAAGGCTGCCAGTGTTAGTGCTTTAAACATTAAGTATGATGGCAGATCTTGTGTATTACTGTTTCTGGAACGATTGGAGGAGATTTGTCGTTCACGTTCAATTACTTATGACAGATTGTTTACTTCAGCCTCGGAATTGTTTATTGATACAGCGTTATTATGGTATAGGGGTATTTGTGATACGGTGTCTTGCTGGGATGACCTTAAGAAAGAGCTGATAGAGGAATTTTTACCTACAGATTATAATTGGAGGTTAATGAATGAGTTACAGTCACGTACTCAGGGGGTAAATGAATCTTTTTCATCCTATTTTTCGGTAATGTTAAACTTCTTCAAGCGTCTTTTGGAACCATTATCAGAAAAAAATAAATTGGATATTCTACTCCGAAATATTCGTCCTGAGTACGCTGAACATTTAGCATTATTAAATATAAATTCTCTCAGTGAATTAAAAGAGAAGTGTAAGTTAATTGAAAGAGCCAAAATTAAATCACAGCTTTTTATGGAACCGCCAAAAGTATCTGCAATACTTTAGCCACCGATTTGGCCTTTAAGCCGGTTAAATCCCAGCAAGTAGCTGCTGTCTCGGCGTTGCCTCCAGTTGCAAAGAAGTTCTGTCGTCGTTGTCGTGTGAACACTCATAATTTAGCTAATTGTACTGCATCAAGGACTTTAGTTTGTTTTCGTTGTGGGTTAGATGGTTACACCACGGTATCTTGTCCGTCTTGCAATAAGAAAAATAAAAGAAAGTTTAATGCAAAAAACTAAATTGCACCGACTCAAGCTACAATAAAAATTTGCATACAGATGATTGGAAGCGATGGCTTGAGACGGTGAACTTGTTTTTTAATTCATATAAGGTTGCTGCAGTTGATGATTTGCTGGTAAACACTCGTCCATTTTTGAATGTTAAAGTTTATGGTCTGTCAATTTGTGGTTTGCTGGATTCAGGTTCTGGTATTTCTATATTAGGTGGGAATTCGGTGAAAAAGTTTCTTAACATGGGAATAGAGCTACAACATTTGTCGATTGATAATTTTCAAATACAAACGGCGAATGGAGCATCGTCGGAAGTGAAGGGTTATGTTTTGCTTCCAGTGGAAATGTTGGGATCTGTGAAGCTGATAAAATTTTATGTAATACCGGAAGTGAAAACACCAGTAATTTTTGGATGGGATTTTTGGCGTACTTTTAACCTAGCTCCTGAGTTACTTCATTCATTGCCTTTTCAGTATAAAGATAGTATGGACGTAGCGGAGATTAATTGTCTTCTTTCTTTCGAAACCTTGACTTCCATTCAGCGCAGCCAGGCTGAGGTAATCATTGAAAAGTTTAAGGACATTTCCTTTGAAAAAGCTGGTTTAGGGAAAACAAATTTAATTACACATACTATTGATACGGGAGATACTAAGCCCATCAAGCAGCGTTATTACCCCATGTCCCCAGATAGGTTAAAGGAGTTGCATCGCGAGTTGGATAGGATGCTGGTGATGGATGTGGTGGAGCCTAGTCGCAGTCCTTGGAATAATCCGACATTAATGACACCGAAATCTTCGGGTGAGTTAAGATTTTGCTTGGATAGTAGGAAATTGAATGCTGTGTCAAAACATGATGCATATCCTTTACCTTATATTTCTCAGATCTTAGATCGCCTAAGGGACGCCAAGTACTTATCCTCTATTGATCTTAGCTCTGCTTTCTGGCAGATATTGTTGTCTGAAGAATCAAAGGAGAAAACTGCATTTACTGTGCCTGGCCGTGGTTTATTTCATTTTAAGCGTATGTGCTTTGGGTTAACTGGTGCACCTGCTACTCAACAGAGGTCGATGGACATGCTGTTTGGGCCGGAGTTTGACAACCGTGTATTTGTTTATTTAGATGATATCGTGGTTGTACACGATACCTTTCAGGGACATTTGGACCTTCTTTCCAAAGTTCTAGAGCGACTTAAGACAGCTGGTTTGACAATCAATTTCTCCAAGTGTCAGTTTTTTTAGAACAGAATTAAAATATTTAGGGTTTATTGTAAATGAGAAAGGTTTACACACAGATCCAGGAAAGGTAAAGGCAATTCTTGATTTCCCAATACCAACGACTCGTAAAGAGGTAAAAACCTTTCTTAGTACTGCGTCTTACTACAGGCGTTTCATTAAAAACTTCAGTCTTATTGCTGCACCCTTAAATAAGTTGACTAGTACAAGTAAAAAAGCACCTCCATTCAAGTGGTCCGAAGAAGCTCAAGATGCTTTCGATATTCTTAAACAGGCCCTGGTATCAGCTCCAATTTTAGGGTGTCCAGATTTTTCCAAGCCGTTTTCTTTACACTGTGATGCGTCTGCCTATGGTATTGCTGGTATGCTTGCTCAAGAGATAGACGGAAGGG